GTTAGATCCGCTTCAGATTCAGCTGCTGGCATCAGATGGAATGTTTCTGGTAAGAAATCTGGCATTGTGTCTAAGGGTTGAAGACTCTCTAGCATTCATAAATATCTCCAGACTTCGACTTAATAAATGCACTGCGTCTTTACTTTTTACGTGGTCAACTTTTTGCGGTTTTGTTCCGAAAACAAATAAGCGGTGTTTGAACTCCGCACCACACGTTTATATTCAATAACACTTTATAATAAAGGCAAAAATTCCTCAGAAATATGTCATTAACTAGGAAGGCTAGCATGGCAATCCATCCGGTCATTTTGACATTGCCTACCAAGAAATACCATAGCAATCAACGACGAAACGAGAAAGTAGATAAGAAACAAAGGATAAGGTTGATGCCAGTTATATGAATAGGAGGCAGTGGGTCACTGTTTGTCTCGCTGAATTCTGAAGTTAACAATACAGAAAGAAACCGGCAAGTGTTGAAAACTGCTATAACAATCTACGGAAAACAGCATGGGAATATCAAACTATTAACAAAGCGTAATTCGAAAACAAAAAATACAAAACTAGGACAAAAGGACAAAGGAAACATTAAGAAATGTCAGGAAAATTAGTTCAGGCGTTACAGGAGGGTTTGTATCTTCTTCTTCTTCTTCATCTAAGACACACGGTATGTAAATCTAGGTCAATTCCAAGTAATGCCGAGCTCTCAAAGTGCGAACTAGGGAAGTTACAATATAACCACCCGGCATTCTAATCAGTAAAACCAAGGGTATCCACATTTCTATTTACATATTATATTCAGGAGGCACGGTAGTCTAGAATTGTCGAAGTTCTTATATACCGCTTTATCACAACCTAGTTCGTAGGTCGTCTGAAGCGGTTCACAAATTATTATTCGTGGTCGATGCGTTTGGTTATACTCATTTGTATAGCCTTTGCAACCATCCAATATCTTTTTCAACTCCACGGGGAGCATACATCCGGTGCTTCCATTTCGACGCTCACAACTAGGATTCTCAATTCTAGCACTGCCCAACCACCTACTCATTTACAGCTGAGTAGAATGGAACAGGCGGAGTAAAGTTTCTTGCTCAAAGATACAACACAGTGCCGTGACGTGTCTCTAACCCGCAACCCTTCGGTCACGAGCCCGGCGTCCTACCACTAGACTACCGTGCCTCCTAAAGTGGGTACTATTCTCAGGAGACCTCATGTTTCTGATGTTAAGCGAACACGGAATGGACGTTTGTAAGGAAACGATACGATATACACAGAGGGGTTGAGCAGGTACCGTACTCATGAAACCATTCTTATGCTCAAATCAGATTATGTGCTCAAGCCAAAATTTTCATGTTCTGGTATTAAACTAATAAAACAAATCATATTTTGTCATTGATTTGGAAAAAGTTTGGAGAGAGGCTTTACGCCGAATTCCATTGTAAATGTTTTTGCTTGTTTGATAACAAAATTGATGGTTGAGCATGAGAACGGTTTCATGAATACGAAACCGTTCTCGTACTCAAGCAGAGATTCTGTGCTCACCCAACTTTATTGAAATTCGCTTAAATCATGTCGAACGATCAAAAAATCAAATGTAAACATTGAAAGAAGTATTTGGCTTTAAGTCTCTTCATGTTTTCCCGAAACATTGACAAAATAAGATGTGTTTACTAATGAATAACCAGAACAAGAAATTAGGCTTGATCACAAACGGTTTCGTGAATACGGGCCCAGGTTAGACTTCGAGATCCAGGCTTCGTGAGATACCACTAGATAATCTGAGTGTATGGAAATATTGCCTAATTCGTGAACTTCCAGTAAAATCAGTATGAAGAAATCGAAACTTTCACTAGCACTGATGCAGTAATTATTGTGTGATAATTTCCTCTGACAGCGGCGAGGTTCAATAGCTGTCTAGCGGTAGATATGACAGACAAACCGGGTCCGACTTCATTAAACCTTACACAGAGTTTTACACGATAATGTACAGAAGTTTAGAAGTATTAATTACGTACTTCCGGTGTGATCCAAACACTGAAATGAGAGTGTTGATTTACTTCCGGTGTGATCCAAACACTGAAATGACAGTGTTAATTTAACGACAGGTAACCAATGACAACAAATACATGAAACCGACATTGTCTCGCCTCCCAAGGTCAATAAGTATAATATATCCAAAGGTCGATGTGTTAGTAGAATTAAAAATTGATAGGATATTTCATGTACCAATATGTAATAGATACTTATTAGGTTTCTCAAATGGCTGCCGCGAAGCTTCAGAGAAGAAATAATTGCGGTGAAATTGATTTTAGAATGGTGTCGAAAGGACGTAAATGAACGAACAGACCGGGATTTCCACTAAACTGGATGACACCCCAGCTCAGAAATTCATATACATATTGTCCTGACATGTTTCCATTCTATTTTCATGGATTTTAGAACCGGTTTGTTTTGGATAATTGGCTTAATGTTTAAAACTGTGACTAAATTTTCATGAAAGTGAACTTATTTCTTCCTTTGATGTCATCAATGTGTCCATATTACTCCATTTTTTCCCATAGTACTCGAATTAAAATGTATGGAGTGTATAATTAAAGTTCCGGTTCCAGTATCAATATGTGGGTTCCCTGAACGTGAGCCTAAAATATTCATTCTAAAAATATTTAAACTTTAAAAAGTTTTTTGTTGTTGTTGTTGCTGTAAAATTGCAAATTAAATGTCAATTAAAGGGACAGCCTTCTTAACGTTTTTATGTTCATATACATTTTTTAAATAAATGTCTTAGTTATATTTTGCATAACGACTTCTTAAAAGTAAACATGATTTTTAAAATGGTTTCTGTGCATTTTCTGTACCATTATTAAAAACTATCAAACTGAAGCCATTCACCAAGGCAACAGATAAAACAGATTCAATAAAATTACTGTTGTACTCCGTCAAATATCAAAGGTTAGTTTGGTACATCTGTAAACAAGAATGACAAAAGTACTGTTAGCATGCAGACATGTTTACATCAATGTACGTACGTGATCCATTGATCAAGTGATGTTTTTTAGTCTTTCTTTATAATAAATGTCCAGTTGAGTACTGTTTACATCCCTAGAGTGCCATGAACTCAACGACAAACAGGAGTTACTGATATTTAAACAATGATTATGTGGACCCCGCCTCCCTCAGCTGATTGTACCGTTGCTGCACATGTTAATGTAGCAGTATGTCGTTCGACACTGGGGGTGGCGGTCTAATGGTCGATAGTTGAGCTTTTGTTTTAAGGAATGTACTCAAATAAGTTTAATCTCGCATTTACTAAAAAAAAAGTCAGAAATATCAATAACAAAATCAATTTAAGAAATCATAAAAGACAAATATAGTGACATAAAGTGACACTTAACTTGAACTTNCCCCCCCCCCCCCCCCTCCCCCGTGAACGTGTAAAGTTGACTTTTGCTTATCTATAGTACTTATTAACATTTCTGAGCACTTGATTTTTTTGCAAATTTGCAAATTAAAGTGCTCAGAGATGGTGAATGGCATTCTTTTTATCAACATTATCCTTGCACATCTCTTAAAACTCGCTAACAACTCTATTAAACTCATTAATGAGCTATTTCTAAATGAAATCGAGGTTTAACGAGGTTCAAAACAATCATTTATACGTATGTTCAAGTCGTTTTAAGTCAAAATACACACTGTTATTATAACATGGACTAGGACTGATAACTGTTTTAGTAGATACAAACTGTTATTATAACATGAACTAAGACTGATGACTGTTTTAGTAGATACACACTGTTATTATAACATGGACTAAGACTGATTACTGTTTTGGTAGATACACACTGTTATTATAACATGGACCAAGACTGATTACTGTTTTAGTAGATATACACTGTTATTATAACATGGACTAAAACTGATAACTGTTTTTATAGATACACACTGTTATTATAACATTGACTAAGACTGATTACTGTTTTAGTAGATACACACTGCTAATTATTATAACATTGACTAAGACTGATTACTGTTTTAGTAGATACACACTGTTATTATAACATGGACTAGAACTGATAACTGTTTTTATAGATACACACTGTTATTATAACATTGACTAACACTGATTACTGTTTTAGTAGATACACACTGCTAATTATTATAACATTGACTAAGCCTGATTACTGTTTTAGTAGATACACACTGTTAGTATAACATGGACTAAGACTGATTACTGTTTTAGAAGATACACACTGTTATTATAACATGGACTAAAACTGATAACTGTTTTTATAGGTACACACTGTTATTATAACATTGACTAAGTCTGATTACTGTTTTAGTAGATACACACTCTTATTATAACATGGACTAAGACTGATTACTGTTTTGGTAGATACACACTGTTTTTATAACATGGACTAAGACCGATTACTGTTTTAGTAGATACACACTGTTAGTATAACATGGACTAAGACTGATTACTGTTTTAGTAGATACACACTTGAATAAATACGCCTCTATCGATAATCATTTCAGTGGTATTAATTAAGTATTGTCAAATTCGTCACCCAGGTGAAGGCAGCCAATTGATCGGGACCCAAGTTGTCCTACCACTTATTATCCACGCCGCCGATCAATAGCATGCATTAGGTAGTGGAGACCATGCATACCTGACATTGCACAGCACTATCGTCTGCAAGTTAAGACATTGATTTTGTAATAAGTGAACAATAAGAAAAACCCATCTCTGTTATACACATAATAATCAAAATCAGTTAGATAAGATAAGCAATATCTAAAGCAGGCATACTACCAGATTCTAAGGCAGAGTTGAATGCCAAAAGAGAAAACGTCACAAATAGGAAGCCCTACAACCCTCCATGGTCAGTGGGTATGTACTAGTAGATGTGACGTTTATGTTTCTGTCGTCTGCTAGCGCTGAAAATTGGCGGTAACGGCAATATAAACACGTGGTGTATTTGGATTGTCACCTGAGCAACGTTCGTGTGCACTGCAACTGATGCTGGGTTTGAAGTAGCACACTGACAAACAGCAATGAAAGTGTCCAGCCGTGAACGTGGTTTGACACTTTGTAGTGTGTGACAATTTGGGTTGGATTGTGAGTGCTCAGTAACATCCCAATATACACAACCAAAGTATATCTCTCAATACACAGCAGACTAACTCACAGTGAACTTTTTCAGTTAATTGTTTTAATCGTATTGTTTGTTTACCGTATTGATTGGTCAGTAGGTTTGTTGAGGTTTTGGAGAGTACGGTACTCGCAGCACGCCACACAGAGACACTGGGTGCTACAAACTTCTTTCGTGGAATATTTGCTACCGAGAATTGCTGATACCTGGGAAGCGTCGTCGGGCGTTAATTATACTATTTGATGTGTTAATGTTTTAGTGCAATGGAACTTAAAGTGTCGACTGAGGATCGTAGGAAGGCGAGAGAGACATTAACGAACTGTTCATATTCAGACCAACAAATGGATTTCACGGACTGACCACACTCCAGCCAACACATGGGATGTACCATAACGGTTTCCTCTCGGAAAACCAAACCGCAATGGCCCATACCAAGAATAACCACGAGCAGCAAAAAAGAAAAGGAACCCTATGAATGTGTATTAGAGAAACGTGTCACCCCTAGGAACTGGACAAACGTGGCGGCCCCCGGTAGTGGTGGGGGAGGACGGGTGAGTGTTAACTTCCTATTACAATCAGTAGCTCTCGGTAATGGCAGGGAAGGCCACGAGTGGTACCTTTAATCCTGACAATGGCGTATTAACCCAAAAAACGAAAATAACGTATTCGTTAACAAATAACATTTTATTTTAAAACATCTTAGCACATAATTAATAATATTGTATAAATTAATCCAAAATTTTGATTTATGTATTCTTTGCTACACATTTTGGACATCAATAAAGACTGTTATGGATAATCAGAACAAATCCATGCTTGACCACAACATGGCTTCATGTATTAATTGTGGTTGCATGTGATCAGGGGCCATGTTGAGTGAGTGTAGCGGATAAAAGAATTAAAACAAGAACTTTCCATTTTCTTGCGGATGTCCTAGTAAATGTGGCGGGCAAAAAGAAGATAATAGAATTTCACGAATACATCAGATGTATGTATCTCGCCTATGTCTTAAGAGGAAAGACATATAATAAACACAAAAATAAGTAAAGACATCTTATTTAGAAATTACAGGAAATGAAAAATGTTTTACAATACCAATAAGAACGACTATTTAACATTTATTTTAAAGCATAGAATTTTTAAATCTACATTTGAGTATTATTATCTAGAAAATATATTCCGGATACAAATTCACAAAAAAAGCCATTCGGCTGTATGTGGAGCGTAAGGGTTCGTTATTAATGCAGAATATTTAACTCATTTTTAGTATTAATTGTAATGAAATATTGCAGGTATATAGTAACACGTGTATCTAAAAGTATTATCGAGGATTTATATATTATAAATAGTTCTACATACAGAGGGCAATTAGTGACAGTATTTCTTGTTGGTTTTAAAATCATATGGTGTGTTACTCTGCTGGTGGAATATCGTGCGATATTGGCCGTAACCTTGTAGCTGGAACTTATTCTGGCAAAATGTACACCAAATACTAGTTAAGTGAAAGTGTACACCAATTACTAGTTAAGTGAAAATGTACACCAATTACTAGTTAAGTGAAATTGTACACCAATTACACTAGTTAAGTGAAAATGTACACCAATTACACTAGTTAAGTGAAATTGTACACCAATTACTAGTTAAGTGAAAACGTACACAACTTACTAGTTAAGTGAAAACGTACACCAATTACTAGTTAAGTGATACAAAATGTACACCAATTACTAGCTAACTGATACAAAATATACACCAATTACTAGTTAAGTGATACAAAATATACACCAATTACTAGTTAAGTGAAAATGTACACCAATTACTAGTTAAGTGATACAAAATATACACCAATTACTAGTTAAGTGAAAATGTACACCAATTACTAGTTAAGTGATACAAAATATACACCAATTACTAGTTAAGTGAAAATGTACACCAATTACTAGTTAAGTGATACAAAATATACACCAATTACTAGTTAAGTGAAAATATACACCAATTACTAGTTAAGTGATACAAAATATACACCAATTACTAGTTAAGTGAAAATGTACACCAATTACTAGTTAAGTGATACAAAATATACACCAATTACTAGTTAAGTGAAAATGTACACCAATTACTAGTTAAGTGATACAAAATATACACCAATTACTAGTTAAGTGAAAATGTACACCAATTACTAACTAAGTGATACCTTATTTGTTGCAGTCGTAATGTTTTAAATGTGTACCGTTATAACGGGTTTTATAGAATCCTTCAACATTAAGCCGTATTTCAGAACATTTAGAAATTGAAGTTCCACTTTTTTGTTAAGTAACGCTGATGATGGCTTACTTTTTACTTCTAAAATAACGGTTATTATAACATTTGAGATGACTGGAAATTACTTCAGACTTGTTAACAAGCATTTTAAATTCCAGTTTCACACGGCTTCCAGAACACCAGTCTGGCGTATATTTTATATCTCTTAAGTTCTTTATCGGTTTATTCTTTTCTATTATTTTTAGTAACAATTACCAAATTTTCGATTATCTTTTTGGCATTTTAGGAATTCATTCGGATGTTCAGGCCTTTCTTCCTGCGCGAAGTTGCTTTACCAATCTTTATCCATTATTGATGGTGACCAACAGTAGCTCCATATAAATAACCTGACATTGTTTGGGGTTTCTCAGTACATGAGAATCTAATATCTTACATCGCCAAGACTAGGTCACTGAGGTGGTCCCCACTCTCACATTAAACAGCCCTTGCTACCGGTCTCCTTTTAGACCTTCAATTCAGTTTGAAAACACTAAATACATGGTAAAGCTGTAAGAACACAATTGATTTTACAAGAATTTACAAAACTACTGGTATCTTATACAAGTGAAGCCGACCGCAAAGCCTTGTAAATTGGTTCACCACGTTAATGCTACCATTAGCCTATACATAGACGTTTCGTGGCTCTCATAACTATAGGTACTACACTGTATGGTATTGTCGGTGCCGTGATAGAGGTAGGGTGGCAGATAGCCCTGCGTAAATCCAATCTGAATCTTCCGGACCAAATTCGAAGCCATACAATACGAAACAGCACGATGCTGTTGCGTTTGGATGTTGTATGTATGTATCACTTGTTTCAATGACATAAAACTCAAACATTATCAACGTATATGATAATTTCGGAAAATATTTTATTATTCATTACGATTTCTAAAAACGCAGCTCTTGTTTTTGATATCAAAATTATCTAAATAAGCGCGAGCCGGTATGATATTTTGTTTAGCTTCCGTTACTATAAGAGAAGGATATAAACTGATTCTTTGTCAAAATCGTCGGTGTGCAAAATGTACAAGAACACGATCATACGTAACATAATGTATTAGTTAATTAGATATGAAGCAAAATAGATAAAAATAGATATATAGTGCTGTTTGTATATTTTTATTGATTGATATTATTATTGGTCTGAATACAAAAGTATCAATAACGCAAACACGGATCCTTGGTCACCTCGCTTTATTAATATCTAAAAATAGAAACAACTCTTTTTACAGATAGTAATATATCGCACCTGATTATCACTAGGCCCTATTTCATTGAAACCCTAGTCTAATATAGTTTTGTAGACACTTTTTTAGCTCGGTTTAATACTAACGATGATACGTGAGCTAGCGGTAAAACAGGGAGGAAAGTTACAGGGGGGCGTTACGGAGGGGGTGTTGACGCATGCGTAAAGACAAGGATGTGGGCGATATTCTCCGGTGTCAGAAACATGTTCAACTTTATTGTATGTTCTAGATATATCACCGTATTTATATATATAATCCTTTTTGTGATATTTAGTATATCATATAAAGGGCTTAATGAGTCCTTTCTGTGATATTTAGTGTATCATATAAATGGCTTAATGAGTCCTTTCTGTGATATTTAGTTTATCATATTAAGGGCTTAATGAGTCCTTTCCGTGATATTTAGTGTATCATATAAAGGGGTTAATGAGTCCTTTCTGTGATATTTAGTGTATCATATAACGGGCGTAATGAGTCCTTTCTGTGATATTTAGTGTATTATATAAATGGCTTTTAATTAATGAGTCCTTTCTGTGATATTTAGTGTATCATATAAAGGGCTTAATGAGTCCTTTCTGTGATATTAAATGTATCATATAAAGGGCTTAATGAGTCCTTATTGTGATATTTAGTGTATCATATAAATGGCTTTTAATTAATGAGTCCTTTCTGTGATATTTAGTGTATCATATAAAGGGCTTAATGAGTCCTTTCTGTGATATTTAATGTATCATATAACGGGCGTAATGAGTCCTTTCTGTGATATTAAGTGTATCATATAAAGCGCGTAATGAGTCATTTCTGTGATATCACGACTAAACGCTGTACAAAAAGAAGAATAACAATGCATGACTGATGACTTTAAATAATAAATGTATCAACGTAATCAATTTGTGACGTCGTTACATTTATAATTTAAAGTCTTAAATTTGGCAATGGGTATGATTTTAGTCATCGACAAAAACTGTGAAGTCCATCCTTATTTTGAAGCTCATTTATATTTGTTGATATTTTGCCATATTCGGTGATATTTTTTTAAAACTTTGTATTTTCACGACATAACGTTAACTGTCTTTTTATGTTAATAAATATCACAATATTTTTTTTTACGACATTGAAGTATTTTAGAAATAGGAATTCTATAAACAAACCAGACTATAGAAGGTATGGATGCTCATTAATTGGAATGAACATGAACAAAACTATAATTGGAAAGATCATTGCTCAACATATAGCTTTCCATGTAGACTACCTTTCCCCCTTAAAGGTTGTGTCTGTTATGAAACAGATAGTTTTAGATAAAAATATGGACGTCTCGATTTCCAGGAATGATTTAATTGTATCGACAGCACAACCATTACCGCATAGCCCGAAACGACGTAACACTAGCGCCGTGTATCTCAAAGTCGCTTCCACGTTTATAATGTAGGGTAATTACTCGACAGGCATGAAACGCGCCTATTAATAAGTCATAACGCAATGTTAACACCGAGAAATAGCGAGAGGTCACGTTGCCCGACCAAGCTCAGACCAGAAATATAGAATTTTTAGCTAACGTTGAACGTGAGTTCTTAATTAGATAAATGAGTTTACATAAGAACCCCGCGGGGATTGTATTTCACGAAAATAAACGTGAGATAATTGTTTTGTTTATACACAACTTCTATGTCGTGTATCCATAACTGGGACAAAAATGGAATCACCTGGATATTTTATTATGTGTTACGAAATGAAATGAATTTACAAGAAAGAGTTATGCCGTAATTTATAACGTACGTCATAAACGAAACGTTTGAGGCCATCGACTAGTATCTGTGTTATATTGTGCTTTTAATTCTCCTAGATAACAGTTTTAAACATGTAAAGAATGTTTTTGCCAACATTGGCATGATATATTCCAGCCTTGCGTATTGCAGAGTTATCTGCTCTTGTGAGCAGGTATTGATTGTTACGTCATTTGTTTGTGAGAGTAACGTCATCAATTTTTGAGAAAACGACGTAAT